ACTAATATAAACAAGTAGGCTAATGCTAAAATCATTGTCACAACACATGATGTAGTTTGACCTTTCTTTTGATTTTGTGGGGTCTTAGAGATGTTACTCTGCATGCTCTTAGCACATCATAAAAATGCACCTGAAATGCAATATTTTCCTTCTTGCCTATGATATCATGGGAATAAACATTACTGCAGGTTATTGGAATCGATCTACTGTCCCAATCACTATTGCCAGCAATTGTTGAGCTCGCAGAGGATAGACATTGGAGGGTTCGGCTTGCAATTATAGAGTACATACCTTTATTGGCAAGTCAACTGGGTGTTGGGTTCTTTGATGATAAACTTGGTGCTCTTTGCATGCAGTGGTTGCAGGATAAGGTTTGTATTTCCACATCATGTATGCCAGCAGTTAAAAGCTCACTTTTGCTTCTGTATCGCACCTGAAAATTTTTGAATCTTGGTTTTTCTCTGTTTGCTTGTTTGATGTGTCTCTGTTCAATGATTAAAATTTCTCTGGTAGATTAAGATTTTCAGTCTTCATTTATGAAGATACAGAAAAGATTAGGGCGTCATAGGACTTGAAAATACAAGTCTTTATGAGGATTTCTGCTCGTCTTGGAATTGGAGTTCAAACCTTTAAATGAAATTCATTCAAGTAGCATGCTAGCCTTTGTATACTACTGGCTTTGCTGTTTTTTCTAGTGTTATTTTATTAAGTTTTTACTTGTAAAAATAATGGAAAAGTTAGCTTTGAATTTCTATATAATACTTTACTAACTTTTGGAACTGAGCTCCTTTCAGCCAATCACGTTGTCATGAAGATTAACTGGTTTATTTTGAACCATCTTGTCTGGGTGTTTTCTTCAGGTCTACTCAATTCGTGATGCTGCTGCAAACAATTTGAAGCGCCTCGCTGAAGAATTCGGTCCTGAGTGGGCGGTGCAACACATAATTCCACAGGTTTGTGTTGCACTGGTTTGTTTGAATTTCACCACTGTCTAATAATTCTGACTTTTCGTTGCTATTAATTTCCCAATGGTGGGGTTGGATGTGTTGACTAGAACACAGTAGTTTAGGATCAATAGGAAATTATGTCTTCTTAACTATTAGAAAGAAATCCCTGGATTGATGGTTTGGCCTCTTTCAATAGTTGATTGTTTTTTCTGCTTCAATTTGACAAGCCAACTATGTAGCCTCCCACCCTGTTCCTGGATTGATTGTTGTTTCATATTTCTTTCACATTTTATATCTGTTCCTATCTTCTAAAGAACTGGATATTGAAATGTCACATTTTATTGCAGGTTTTGGAGATGAGCACCAATCCCCATTATTTGTATCGGATGACAATTCTACGTGCTGTCTCGTTGCTTGCTCCTGTGATGGGTTCGGAAATTACATGTTCCAAACTGTTGCCAGTGGTCATCAATGCATCAAAAGACAGGTATTGGATGCGTGGATTGTCAATCTGGTTTTTAAAATTGTTTAATTCTAGCCTGGTAGTTTCTGAATGCTGGATTTGATTTCACTAAGCAGGGTACCCAACATCAAGTTCAATGCGGCGAAGGTGCTGCAATCACTCATTCCCATAGTTGATCAGTCTGTAAGTAGCTCTCGTTCTTAGCAAAGACTAAACTTTGTTGTTTTTTTACCTTTTTTCCTGCTTGTCATCTTATTGAAGTATTGTTTATTTTGTTCACGGGTGCCTTTTCACTTCCTTAACCTCATTGGGCCGTAAATTATGTCCGCAGGTTGCAGAGAAGACTATCCGTCCCTGTTTGGTTGAGCTAAGTGAGGATCCAGATGTTGATGTCCGTTATTTTGCCAACCAAGCTCTCCAGACTATTGACAGCGTCATGATGTCTACCTAGACAGGCTCCCTTTTAATATTGGAATCTCGTTGTGAGCCCATGTACTGAAGACCCTCTGTTGAAGTTGCCATAATTTCGGGTCATCAACCCCTTTAATATTGGAATCTCGTAGTGAGCCGTGTTGTACTGAAGACCTACTGTTGAAGTTGCCATAATTTCTGGTAATCAAACCAGTTTCATCTTTGCCGACATTTTGAGTGGTAGGCAATTGTATCACTGTGAGATGTGACCGCCATGTAAAAATCCGTTTTTCTGGATCCTGAACGAATGCGCGCTCTCATTTTTCCTCATGATAAACGCTGTTTTTGCTTTGTTTGTTTGTATCTCTTGTCTTCCAATAGGACTTTCTTCGTATCCTTTTTTCATTAGAAAGATAATTTCAACAAACTACTGCCGTTTAAGTAGTGGAGAATTGGCGTTTATCCTATACAGTGAACTGAATATAGGACGTGATCTTAAACCATTCAAGCTTCAAGTAGCTGTCGCACTTGCACAGAGCACACAAGGGGTTTCCCTAGAAGACTCAAGTGAGTTCAACTTCATGGTCTCTTTATGTTCCTTATACTTGTTCTTTTTTTTTTTGTATGAAATCAGTTGTTTCTACTGTCGCCAAAGCAACCAAGGAACAGTTGGCTGTTCGGCGCTGTTGCTGGCTTGTTGGCGTGGATATATTGTAAGTTGGGAAAAAAGAAAAAGTCTTCTGCTTTTTATATGATCCGTATTGATCAATAAATGCACACCCATTAGTTCCCATGAACTGAATTATGAGTGTCCTGAATCAACTGAATTAAAGGAATCAGTTTCAGTGGAAAAAAAAAATGCGAGTTTTCATTTGGTAGAAACAAAAACGTGTTTTTTGCTTCAACTTCCAATAGAGAAGGGAGCATGAATTTGTTTTCACTGGAATTATTTACTTTCTGTGATGGTAAAATTAATGTCATCGTTTTTATCTATGGACTGAATGGTAAATCATGTAGCTTATGGGCAATTTGTAGCGCGTGCGGAGATGTCGCGTTAAATTTAGAAACCTGAGCTGGAAATTGCACCCACCACCACGTGAAATTAAACTTTGTTTTGTTTGGCGTTTGAAAGTCAGTTGGTGAAGTATCCGTTTCCCTTCTTAACTATAAAGGATAAACTACCTTTGAAATTGCAGTGCTCTTGTCGAGATTTGAAAAATTATAATTTATATTTTAAGTTAAAACAAATGTTTTAATTGGATGAAAAAACTGAACGATATAATAAATCAAAAACTGAAACAAAAAAATCAGAAGTTTTATGTCAAAATGCAATTTCCTTCTTTTCAATTATCATTTTCTCTCTTTTCATAACAATTTGAACCCAAATCAAGAACAAAATCTAGTGTTTTTAATTGATTCTTCTCTTCTTGCCTGGTTGAAATCTCTCTTTTCTTGAAAAACAATTTGATGGAAAACCCCAAATTGAAACTCAGAAGAATCCTAAATTTTTCAATCATCCACTTGATTCTTCATAAATCCACATAATTAAAATCTCTAAATGTTGGATTGAAATCGAAGCACCACCACTGATCTGATGACATCAATGATGCTGGAGTTTTCAAGAGAATGCCAAGTCTGAGGAGAAGAAAGTGAAGCAAGAGAAGCCTTATGAAACCATCAATTTGCTTTCCTTAGCTGTCCTAGTTGTTTTTGCTCATCTTCTAATTTCACAGTTCATAAGCAAAAAGTATTCTACATCATCTAAAGTGTTGGAGAATGTTGTATTACATGTTTATCAAAAAAACAAGAACATGTATAAATTAGGAATGTATTTCTTTGAGGGGGGAGAGTACATGTAGAGTAAGCTAGTAATCTTGATTTGGGATTTCTAAATATATATATGATTTAATAATCAGACTTTATTAAAGAAAAATAAGTGTTAGTGTGGTAGAGACCATAGTGCCACAAGAGAGTTCTAGCGTACACAATTGAAGAAGGTGAGGATGTGGGTTTATGGTTGGAGATGGTAGCTGCTGGTCATTTTGAACATAATTCCCCATCAATTAGTAAAGGATGACAAAAAGCTCATAGATCAGATAATTGTCCTGAACTGCCTTTCTTCATCCCTTGCCTAGGATCCCTGACCTTCTAAGAAGACTTTCTTACGAGCATTAAAATCATGTCATCATGTACTCCATGGACATTCATCCTCGTCAGCCTTGAAGTAGAGTTAATTTCATCTTCATTAAAGGATCTTTAACCTCATCATCTCCAAGTTGTAAAATACGTTCAATTCCTATTTTTTACTAAATGGTTTTAGAAACTTAGACAAATGCATTTATCAATTAAAAATATGTATTTTTTTAATTGTATGTTTACTTTTTCTCTAGATTTCTAGAAAGTAAGAGAAATTCTAAAAATATTTTTTTTTATCCACTCTAAACTTAAAAAACGGGATTTACGTGTTTTGATTTACTTAAAAATTTAATTCAATTTCTTTATTATTTAAAAGCAAGCCAAAAGAAATCCAATTATCTATTTTGAAACAATCATGTCTGGTAAACATGTTTTTCTAATCTTTTATGAAGGTAATGCTAAAGTAAATAAGAGGTGGAAGCTGGAAAAAATAATATTTTCTAAAGCAAACATAACCTTAATCTCTTGGTTGTTTATAATATTATATTTGGTTGTATATGATACTTTTAATAAACCCTTATATAAATGCTCGACAAGCCATAAATGTTTTTTTTTTAAATAAAATGGAGGAATGAGATATTTAATTTTTGAAATTCATAAGAAGTAATTAATTAATGTAATTAAATTACAATGACACAATTATAATTAACTATGCTCTTGATTATAACTATACTAGACTGGGGAATGATAATCTCGGTATGCTAAGACTGACTACAAACAAATCCAGACCATTGAAGTAAAAAGGTGTTGAAAATGCTAGCACAAACAGATATGTTACAAGTTCGATGGAAACTTTTTGTGATGGGAAGGCCGCTACGTATTACAAAAGTGTGAGTCAGCAGATGTGGGGGTTGAGGCATTGTTTCTTCGACCGGTGGCTCGCCTCCAATTGAAAAACCTCAGCTACCACGTACACCGACAAACGTTCAAGGTAATTCGTGTCTCAGCTGGCCATTTTTTCCTATAAATAGAACCTACAAATTTGACAAGAAATCATGAGCTTCTTACAATTCCATCTTAACCCTTAGGAAGTTCATCTTGTACATTGTCTTATGGAAATGGCCGAACTCGAAGAAGATGATAAAGGAACCAGCCTGCACTCTATGAATGAGGTACGTACTCACTCCCCATGAAAATTTCGATTTTTGTAGCAGTTACCCATGGAGCTAGGGCAACTCATGAACAAGTACGAGTATTAATTTGAAACGAAGCCAAATAATTACATACCCTGATACATTGTTGTTGTTACTGTTGTTTTATGACTGATAAACCGGAAAAACAAAAAAGAAGCATAGTGTATATATATACCCGTAATTAAGTCGAATTATGTACATATAGTTATGTTCTTACCGATGATTTTGTTTTAATTAACTTCTTTTGACTATGGTTTGTAAGGCTTAACAACAACTAGTGATAAAGGTCAATTGCTTAAAAATCACCGAATCGGTGAAAGTTTTGGTCACGAATAATAATCAGTACTCTCTTATTTCGTTTTCTGTTATGCAACACGTCCAGTTGTACTTGATTAATACTGGTAGAACTGATACATACCATGCATGCACAAGAAAATGAGAAATACTGCGCTAAGCACTATATCTGGAAAACCTTTTCCAATGTATCAAAATAAAACGACAAGGTTTTAATTCATCTTCCACCTCAACTTCACTTGTAATGAACGGTGTGCATGGATCATGACTATATCTTTTAGACTTGGTCTAGTGGTTGTGCATGTACTCAATATATAATTCTTCTTCTTCTTCTTTTATAAAGCATGTTTTAATCTGATAGATTACGTTTCTTTTTCTGTTATGTAGTTGGAGGTATCGCGTTATATATTTTAAGATCATTTGAACCTCTCCGATGAATAATAATAATAAAAAAAAAACTATATATACGCATCCTTCCATTATATGGCCTTTTTCAATGTACATTGTTTCATATAAATTCCCTATATATTCCTTGATTTATCAGGAAAGAGTCTCTCTTTTCTATTTTCTTCATGTCATCCTTAAATTCAATGTTGCGTAGACCATATATATATATATATATATATATTCTTACGAATGCCGTCTATATATTTGCAGGAAAGAACCAAATAGGTTCCCTTTTGGAATCTTCATTTGAGCAAGATTTATAACTCTATTATTTTACTGAGGACGCCATGGTCGAGCACTGAAAAGAAGCCTCGACCTCGGAACTTCATGGGAGGCTGTTTCATGAGTCCTTGGATTCCTTTATTAACTACAAGTTGATTGATTGTGTTTTCTCTACTGTCCATTTAGGAAGAAGAAGAAGAAAAGGGACAACTTAGTTACTGCTTCATTTCAATTTCCCAACTTTGTCACAAAACTGCCTTGAGGATAAAATGTTGAGCTGCTAGGCTGAAAACGCTAGTAGAAAGGGTTAATTGCAATTTCCCACTAATTAATCTGGCAATGTACTCTGTAAAATAGCTAGTGTGCTAAGAAATGTCAATAAAGAGATCTTCTTCCACATATATCTGCTACACTCGAGTAATTGCTGGCAACAAATGTTATAATTGCATCTATCGATCCAGGGATGCACCTCATGTTAGGAGATCCAAACATTTAAACACACACAAATTTACGTGGTTCGGCAACTTGCCTACTCCATGGAGCTACTGGTTTATATTAATCAAGCTCAAAAGCAATACAAACAACAAAACAAGGAGGAGGAGAAAATTTCTCTACTCAACTCAACTCTCACCCTTAGCTCTCTCTCTGTGTTTCTCTCTATTTCGTGGTGATCATCAGCTATCAATGACACTCTCTATTTATAGCTGATGTGGGAGACAAGCTTCTTCTTTAGTCAACAATGGTGGACAACAATTTCTTTGGTTAGGCACCCACCATACAACCACCATTGACTTTAGCCATGTCTAACATGGCTGCCACCAACCATGTTGTGTCCACACCCAACAATCTCCCACTTGGACACAAATGACGCTAGATCTGTCTTTTAATCTTTAAGACCAACTGAAGCTTTACACAGCTTCAGTTTATCAAGAGTGACTCCTTTGGTTAACATGTCAGCTGGATTCTTGCTTCCACAGATCTTTTCAAGTAATAGTTGTTCATCGTCGAGCAATTGTCGGATGAAGTGATATTTGATCTGTATGTGCTTTGTTCTGGAGTGAAATGCTGGATTCTTGGCAAGGAAGATTGCACTCTGACTGTCACTATACAAAGTACCCTTTCCATGCATCTTGCCCAATTCTTGCAGGAAACTCTGTAGCCATACTATCTCTTTTGCGGACTCTAAAACTGCAACATATTCAGCTTCTATCGTTGAAAGAGCAACTATCTTTTGCAAGGTAGAACTCCAAGAAACAGCAGTGCCTCCTAGAGTGTATATATAACCTGTAGTACTCTTTCTGCTATCAACATCTCCTGCTAGATCAGCATCTACAAAGCCTTCAAGTTTCAAACCGCCAGCTGTGAAAGTAAGACATGTCTCCGATGAGCCTTTTAAGTACCTCATGATCCATTTCACTGCCTCTCAATGCTGCTTTCCAGGATTGCTCATATATCGACTTACAACTCCCACTGCATGGGCAATGTCTGGTCTAGTACAGACCATGACATACATCAAAGAGCCGATAGCTGAGGCGTATGGAATCTGATCCATGTATCCACGTTCTAGCTCAGTTTTTGGTGACTGGTCTTTACTGAGCTTGAAGTGATTCCCCAGAGGTGTACATACTGGCTTAGCATTATCCATACTGAACCTGCTGAGAACCTTCTTGACATACTCTGTCTGTGAAAGCTTTAGCATGCCTTTGTCTTTGTCTCTGATGATTCTCATGCCAAGTATTTGTTTAGCAGCTCCCAGATCCTTCATTTCAAACTTTTTTGACAACTGTTGCTTTAGCTTGTCAATCTCTTCCATGCTGGATCCTGCAATTAACATATCATCCACATATAACAGTAAAATGATATAGGAGTTGTCAAAATGTTTGACATAGCAACAGTGATCAGCCTGACATTTTGTGTATCCCGTACTACACATGAAGTTGTCAAACTTCTTGTACCACTGTCTTGGAGCTTGCTTCAAACCATATAGGCTCTTCTTTAGTTTGCAAACTTGACTCTCCTTTCCTGGTATTGCAAACCCCTCTGGTTGTTGCATGTAAATGTCTTCCTCCAATTCTCCATGAAGAAATGCTGTTTTTACATCTAATTGTTCAAGATGTAAATTTTCTGCAGCTACTATCCCCAGAACAACTCTGATTGTTGTAAGCTTCATAACTGGAGAAAATATCTCAGAATAGTCGATCCCCTTCTTTTGCTGAAACCCTTTTACAACAAGTCTTGCTTTGAACCGTTTGCTTCCGTCATGCTCGATCTTTACTCTGTAAACCCACTTGTTTTGCAAGGCCTTCTTTCCTTCAGGCAGTTTGGTTAACTCCCAAGTCTTGTTCTTCAATAATGACTCCATCTCGTCCTTCATGGCTAACTCCCACTTGCTCGAGTTTCCATCTTGTAAGGATTCTTCATAAGTTAATGGTTCACCACCATCTGTCAGCAAGATATAATTCAGTAGAAGTGTGAACCGTTGTGGAGGCTTTATAGTCCTTGAAGACCTGCGAACAGCTGGTTCACTTGTCTCTGCACTATCTTGTGTAGAAGTGGTGGGTACTGAAGTGTTTGAACTGTCTTGTATGAACTCTTGAGTGGTAACATCAGGAAGCCCTTCTAATTGTATGAATTTAGATTTCTGTGGACTCGTATCTGAATCAGTTATCTCTAGTTTTGTACTTGATTTGTCTTTGTACAAAACTTTCTCGTTGAAGATCACGTTCCTGCTTCTGATAATCTTCCTGTTCTGATCATCCCAAAAATGAAATCCAAATTCTTCATCTCCATAGCCAATAAAGAAACATTTCTTTGATTTGGCATCCAGCTTGTTGCGAGCATCAGAGTCTACATGCACATAGAAAACACATCCAAAGACTTTTAGGTGAGAAAGTTATACTTCTTTTCCTCTCCAAACTTCCTCGGGCAGTCTGAACTCCAAAGGTACTGATGGTCCATGGTTGATCAAGTAAACTGCAGTATGAACTGCATCAGCCCAGAATGTTTGAGGTAACCCAGAATGTAACCTCATACTTCTAGCTCGTTCATTGATGGTCCTGTTCATTCGTTCAGCAATGCCATTCTGTTGTGGTGTGCCTGGAACTGTCTTTTCCATTCTGATACCGTTGACAACGCAATACTCCTTGAAACCTCCATCAATGTATTCTCCTCCATTATCAGATCGTAAGCATTTCAACTTCAAACCTGATTCAATTTCAACCATAGCCTTCCATTTCTTGAATGTGTCAAACACATCAGATTTATTTTTTAGAAAGTAGACCCATACCTTTCTGCTGAAGTCGTCAATAAAAGTCGCATAGTACCGAGAACCTCCAAGAGATGCTACTGGAGCTGGTCCCCATAAATCTGTGTGCACCAGTTCTAGCTTTCTTGGTCTTAAGGTCCTGCCAACCTTTAAGAAACTGAGCTTCTTCTGTTTTCCGAGAACACAGCTTTCACAAATGTCTAGATCAACATTTTTTAACTCTGGCAGCTTTCCCTTTGACTGAAGTATCTTCATCCCCTTTTGACTCATATGGCCGAGTCTGCAATGCCATAGTTGTGCCTGATTTTCTGCTTCAGTAGAGGCAATTATATCTGTTGATCTTGTGGTCATATACAGGGTGCCGATTTTCTTTCCACGAACCAAAACCATTGCTCCCTTTGATACCTTCCACATTCCTCCACAAAAAAGGATTGAATGACCACTATCATCAAGTTGTCCAACCGAGATCAGCTTCTTCTTTAGTCCAGGAACATGCCTTACATTTTGCAAGTTCCATATAGATCCATTCATTGTCTTGATTTGCACATCTCCTATACCCACAATATCCAATGGTTGTCCATCGGCCAGATAGACTACCCCGTGATCTCCAGCAATATAGTTTTGCATCATTTCATGGTGTGATGTACAGTGAAATGAAGCTCCAGAATCAAGAACCCAATCATCAATAGGACTATGTACAGCAAGAATCAAAGCATCTTGTACCTCGTCTGTAGTGGCGTTTGCAGAATCAACTTCAGGTTTCTTCGGTTTTGTACAACTCCTCATGAAATGACCAGGTTTGCCACAATTCCAACATTCAACCTGCTTCCTGGGTCCAAACTTGCTTTTACTTCTGTACCTGGATTTTGATCTGCCTCTGGATAAGCCTCTGTCCTGTCTCCTTCCTCGAGTGTTGATGTTGAGAGCTGAACCTGAACTTGAGCTTTCACCCGAGTCTTTCCTTCGTACTTCTTCAACTAAAATCAGATCTCGGATGTGATCATATTTTAATTTGGATTTTCCAGCTGAGTTGCTTACGGCTGTTCTCATACCTTCCCAACTGCTTGGAAGTGAAGCTAGCAAAATAAGTGCTCGGATCTCATCATCAAACTCAATCTCAACAGATGACAATTGATTTGTGATGGTGTTGAAATTATTGAGATGCTGTGTAACAGAGGTGCTTTCCGTCATCTTCAGGTTGAACAGCTTCTTCATCAAGTGCACTTTGTTATTTGCTGATGACTTCTCATACATCCCAGACAAGGCTTCCATCAATCTTGCTGTGGATTTCTCTTTTGTAACATTATGAGCAACTCTTCTTGACAATGATAGCCGGATAATGCCCAAGACTTGTCTATCAAGTATTTGCCAATCTTCTTCTGACATGTTTTCTGGCTTGCTCCCCAACAGAGGAAGATGAAGTTTCTTCCCATATAGATAATCTTCAATTTGCATTTTCCAATATCCAAAATCAGTTCCATCAAATTTTTCAATTCCTGCAGCCTTTATTTCATCAGCCATTTTTACTCTTTCTCGGATTTGAATCTCAAAAATCTGACCTTATAAATCTGTCCGGAATGGCCAAAAATGCTGGAAACGACACTAAGATTACCCAAATCGGACTTCGGATGACTCCGATTTAAACAATCAAAAATTGGGATAACTGGACGCTGCAGATGAAGCCACGTGGCAGGAGGAATAGTCGATGCGCCACACCGGATCAAAACCCAGCTATGCTGCCGTGGCAAGATGACGTGTCAGACAAGTAGACAATGTGGGGTCCACTCAAGCTTACGTGGCAGATCCACGGAGATTTTCGACTGACGTGGCAGGGATGACGTGGCTGGTGACGTGGCAGATGTCGTGGTTGGTTGACCGATCAGACTGCTGATGTGGCAGGTTACTTGCCTGCTGACTGTGTCGAACCGCTGACGTGGCTGATGAC